TGCAGCTTCGTGCACTCCGTCCATCTTTTGGACGACTGTACGTACATGTTTGCATTGTATCTCGGTGCAATGCCAATAAAGTTTATTCTGATTCTGATATATATATATATATATTCACGTGCACTTTATGCATCTCATCCGTCTGTGCACCTCGCAGGCCTGCAGCCATTGGTGCTCTTTTACAGCTACATCAATTCAATTCGATTCAATTCAGTTCAGTTCATTTATATAGTGCCAAGTCACAACAGACGTCATCTCAGGGCTCTGAACAGAAACAATTCATATATATAAAATGTAAGCTAACATGACAAAAATAGAAGAAACGTTACAGTTAGTATCAAACTGAGCTTGTTTGAATCCTTTTTGAAGCATATTATGCATTTCATTGTTCAGCTTTAAAGCATAAATGCAAACTCGTGAGAAAACGTGTTTAAATACGTCCTGGGTTCATAAAAACAAACAGAGCCGTATTTTGACGTTTTGCATAAGAGTTTCAGTACTTTGAGTTTGATACTGTTGACAGAACATGTTTGCATGGCCATGACGAGACAAAAGATTGCATATTATTATACGCGTTCATGCGATGTTTGTTTTCATACATCCCAACCTGTGTGTTCAACTTGGCATACTTGTTCATACAAATGAGGCCCCAGGAGAGCAAAATTCATACAGCGGTCAGATCGGGAATGAAAATGTGGTGTGTGAAAAAGGAAGCTGTTGCAATGTGTCTGTGCATGTGTGTGTGTGTGTAGCGGTCTCTCACCCTTGCACAGTGCTGCCTGTGGAGGCCGAGGAGCTGAGCTCATTGTCCAGCTCTGCAAGTGCAGCATAGCGGTCCTCCAGGCTCTTCCCTGTATGGGACTGAGCAGCCACGACCCCAGACATAGATGGAATTGGCACTCCTCCTCCTTTCAACAAATATTAAATTATGGAGACTCGTAAGTTCAAGTTCACATGTTTTTTTATACTAAAGAGAGGTGTCTGTATGTTTAGATCAGCCTCTAAGGATGAGTGATATATCAAATGTAAAAGTATATTACACATTTATTGCATTTATATTGACCTTGTGTTATTTCTTACATGACTATATTGCAACTATTGATTGAGTTATGAAGCATTCAATTGGTAAATTATTATTTGTTTCTGGAAGAATAAAAGCGTCCTGCATACGTCATCAAGGAGTGACCCAGATTTCTCAAGGAAGACTGAACAGACAGGGATTTATTTTTTAGGACTGACAGTTTTTTAGGCTAAGGGATGTGGACAAAACAGTATTCTTGATTTCAGAAGTTTACAGCTCATCACCATCACAATTACTGTGGGTTTCTGAAAGCATCCAATTGCCTGATAATGTTACGAAAAGAGGAAGAAAAGTTTAACATTCTCTGAAAAAACAACTGGATTTGGACTTTTGCACAGTTGACAGCCTCACAGACATTTAGGTATTGCAGCTCCTGCTACCACAGAGTAACAAAAGAGCTGTCAAATTTAGTTACTGTTTAGTTACAAATGAAATTAGTCAAAAACAAGGATGAATACCATGAAGGCCTGTGAGCGATGCTTCACCTCACTTTAAGATATTATGTTAAAATAAACAACAACAGTGACTAAAGTCAGGTTTTAAATTTGTGGGATATACATGTGAACAAATTTGTATCTTTTTGTTGACAAAAAAAAAATCTCAATGGTTATTGAAATAACTTGAAACTGACAAGTCATGCAAATGTTTTACTAAAATCAACTAATGAAAATTAATCATTGCTTTTGACTTTTGGTTTGTCAAATCCTATAATCAGTTCTTCTGCCTATTTAAAGGGTGAAACAGTCACTGGGCTGTTTGGTATCATGGTGTGTACCACACTGAACATGGACCACTGAAAGCTGAGGACAGGGTTATCTCAGGAGCTTAGAAATTAAATTACTGAGCAGCATGTTGAAGGTAAAGACTATCAGACCATCTCCAAGCAGCTTCACGTTCCTCTGACTACAGCTGCTCAGATTATTCAGAGGTTTAAGGTCCACAGGAGGAAAGTTGGTGACAGATTGATGAGCTGGAGAATAAGAACCATAACCAACGAGTCCAGAACAACTTCCTCAGAGTTTAGAGATGAACTCCAAGGTCAGGGGTCATCAGTGTCAGATCATTGAGTCAAAGAAGATGGAGGAGGACATCATAAAGTGTGACTGGTATTTGAGAAGACACAAAGCTTCCAGGACCATGTCCTTTAGACAGACGAGTCAAACTGGAGCTTTTTGGCAACGAGTCCCATCAGCTCTGTGTTTAGAAACACAAAATTAAACCTAAGAACAAAGAACACTGAAGCTACAGTGAAACATGGAGAGCTGCTTCTGACACAGAGTGTGTTGAATCTGTGAAGGTTACGATCAAATCTCAAGACTATGAAGGCCTTGTGGAGTGAAACGTGCTGCCCAGTGTTGGACAGCTTGGTTCGGCTGCTGGTCAGGATAATGACCTAAAACACCCAACAATGTCCTTCTGAGCTCTGCTCTCAGTCCTGTTCAACATCTGTGGAACACGCTGAAACATGAAGTCTGTAGGAGGAACCCGTCAACAGCTGGAGCCATTAGCTCATGAGGATTGGACCAAACTCTTGGACAGATGCAGAAAACTCAGAGTTACAGAAATCACTTGATTGCCTCAACAAAATATTTAAAGTTAAGTGTGGTAACTTTTTTTGTTTTAGCTTCATCAGTTTATTATTACTATTTTAATTCAGTTGGACCCAAATCTTAAAGTAATAACATTTTCAGAGGATGATTTATGGCCAGTTTTTTTTTAACATATCAATTTCAAGTTTTTTTTAATTAGTGGTTGAGGGTCAACAATTTACATAACTGAATAAAAAATGTGAACACAAGCATGTGAATTAAAATCTGGAGGACAAAAAGAGATCATTAGATCAGGAAGATCTTCTAGCAGTCAGCCGGTGGGTGATCCGACTAAAATCATGCCAGTCAGTGAAGGAATTTAACTTTATTTATTTTTTTAATCATCTGTTGGACACAGACTTCTGTTAGCATAATTTGGCACTCAAGGAAAGAGAGTATCTCTGATATGTGCTGCATAAAGTTGCATTCAAATAAATCAGTTTAAAGCTCTGGCAGTTTTGTGGAGGACAACGAAATTTAAAAAACACCGTATTTGATCCGTGGAGTGGACCACTTGTTCAATAGGTCTGACTTAGAATTAAAACAGCCCATATTTATGTAATTTAGTGCCACAGCAAACAGCACTTTACTCTCAAATATCTGCTGTTTGCAACCTACAGCAGGACATATTTACTGTGTCGTGAAAGCAGGTGGTAACTTTTCAGGAGAATTGTGGAGGAGCAACCTGCTGCCTCAAAAACTAGACCAAGCATGTCAGGAAAAGTATAATTCATTTTCTATTCTATAATGAGGGTCAGATATTGTTGCATCTACAGATAAATTGTCAAAAACAAATGTGTAAAATAAATTTGTTCACATTCAGAATACAAAACCAAACCTTATGGTTAATAGGACGTTTTAACAAATGGAGCTTCACATCCAGGAGTTAAACAGAACCCAGTTATCTTACAGGATAATAATCACAGGACACCCTCAAGAGCAGTTCCTTGCAAAAACTGGCATGAAAATTTGACTGTAAGAGTTTATAAAATATAAACCACTATAAAAGTCTTTATATTAGCTGTTTTAACTCAACAGCAATCTACTGTAGTCTTAATGTATGGTCTAGTCGTTAGCTCATCAGTCCCGTCAGAATTAAACTTGTATTTTTTCTAATCCGACGTCATTCAAAGGAACATCTACAATAGGTTAAATATCACAAGTTCATAACATGCATATAAAACACTGACACTGCTATATACGACTGCTACAGTGAGACGGGCGTTCAAGAAAGTAAACCTTCCCAAGGCACCAGGGCCTGATGGCATCCCAGGGCGGGTGCTGAAAGTGTGTGCTGACCAACTCACCACAGTTTTTACCAACATCTGTAACCTGTCTGAGCCAGTGTATGGTGCCCACCATTTTCAAGACCTCCACTGTTGTCCCCATCCCAAAGACCAGCATCCTGCCTTAATGACTGTCGGCCCATAGCACTCACATCTGTCATCATGAAGTGTTTGGGGGGAGGCAGAGGTGGGGTAGAGGTAAGGCAGCCGACTTGAGACCAGAAAGTCACAGTTCCACTCCTGCCACATGTCGTGGTGTCTCTGAGCAGGACACCTAATCCTCAATTGCTCCCCGAGCACTTACATAGCTGACCACTGCTCCACCTGGGTGTATCTCACGTGTGAGGTTAAATGCAGAGAACTAATTTCACCATTGTATGGGAACATACAACGATGACAATCTCAGACTTCCCTCCCCTTTTGAGTGAATTATTAAGACTCACATCTGTGTCTCCCTCCCTGACACCCTGGACCCCTTACAGTTCACATACAGAGCAAACAGGTCAACAGATGATGCTATTGCTTCATCAGTTCCCACCTCTCTCAGCCATCTGGAGAAGGTAAACACCTATGTGAGAACAGCTCAGCATTCAACACAATCCCCTCCAAACTGGTCTCCAAGCTCACCGCACTGGGCCTGGAGAAGTACATC